TCTTCTTACTAAAAGAAGCTTAGTGTGCTACATGTTTCTAAATAGCACCTGGAAAAATTACAAAGTATCAATTAAAAGAAACGAGACAGAAGAAAATCGTTACCAGCGTACCCATTTCTCTTTTAACTTCTGGGGAACCAACCCCTTTCCGAAGCACTGTGAAAATCAACAAATTTCACGTAATATAGATGTTATGTATACACATAAATATTCGAAAAACTTCTGATTCGACTTGAAAAAAAGTCGATTAATAGATCTAAATATTAATAGCGTCCCAGGTGTCTAGATAAATTTAGTCCGCAGCAGAGTTAACCACTTGCGGTGGCAATTTTGCGGTCAATATGAAGGTATAATATGTTCTTGGCAATTTTTGAACAAAAACATCATGACGTGCGTAGCACATCTTTCCAGCTCAAGTAGTTAACCAATTAACTGTGCAATTTAGTTTGAAATATCTCTCGTTTTGCGCGGAATAAAATAAAAAAATGAAGTGTGTATCCGCCAAACACAGTACAAATGCACCTAGGGTGTATTTTAATGAAAAACCAAAGCAAAACGAATAACAATTACATGTTTATCTGAAAAAATAAAGAATTAATATTATTTCAAAATTTAAGATGACGTGTATACTCGTCGAACGTAGTTAACTGGTTAAACGAGTCACAGTCGCAGGTTGAATCGCGAGCCCTGCGCAACCTGCGCCCGATTTCGTTCTTACCGGACGGAATCGTACGCGCGCACACCGTTGCGAGGACGCGCGGGAAACGCGTATTCATTGTAAACAGTAGGAGAAAAAATTTCGAACACGATCCTCGGCAATCATAGGTGTCTGCCAGCCACGTGGCAGCTGCTTCAACAGCTGTTACCACCCCGATGCATCAGAAGATGCGCCAGTTTCTTCTTTTTTCACCTCCTCCCCCTCTGCCTCTTTCTTTCTATCTCTCGCTACCCTCCCTTCCCCGAGCACCGTTTTTTTTGCGCTTGTTTTGCCGTTGATTTTTAATGTCGCGATATCACGCGCGAGGAACGCGGCACGCTGCTGTTCGCCGCCGCCGCCTCGCGTGTGCATGCTCAGCACCCCGGCACAAAAAGGAAACACATCGCCGCCGCTGCTGTGGGCCCCGAGTCCTTCGGACGGGAATTATCTCCTGTTCATCTTCATTCACAGTTCTTGCGCGCCGATTGACAGCCACAAAAGCGTTCGCGCCGACGACGCGCGAGACTCTAACAAGAAACCTCCACGAAATTGTTAATTCCCCGTCTACGGAGACGTCCGTCGTGTTTAATTAATCGAGGCCCGTTGTTCGCCGTGTCTCGTTCGGACGTTTCGTTTCCTTCTTCTTGGATTGTGCGGGGTGCGCGAGACCATACACTGCCTGCGAATTGCTGATCACCTGTGATTGTTCTGCAGAGAATGGATATTGTGCAGCATGATTGTTTTGTTTTCTTGTGAGATAGCGGATCTATACTTTGATCACCTTTCGAGATTATTGCTGGAAGTTGAATAATGAATTTCGATGGACGGTATTCTTTCCGATGTTTTGACATGTTTGTGTTTGGCTCGAAATTTGAAAGATAACAACAGGTGTTGAAGTTTTACCGTTTACTTGACTGAACGCTTTCTTTTATTATGTGGCTTTTCTAATTTCAAATCATTGTAGAATAATGAAGTTTATAACTGAAATGCATTGTGAACTTTGCGTTCATAATACATTGTATTCTATGTAATTGAAGAATTGAATAGCTTTAAAAATTTAATGGCTTTTCCGGTATGAAATACATATAAAATGCTGCATTCATTATTCTGAAATACGAACTTCTGAATTATTAACAATTCCCTTTAAATTGTCAATGACTACCATCTGATACCTCAAGAAAGCTTTTCAATCCAATACTAATTTGTCTCTTATAAAGTCAATAAAATGGATCAAATGCCATAGAACACGTCAAAACTGATTTAACGCATTGATTACGTAAAATATTTATTACATTAAAGCGAACAATAGAGTGGTAAATTGAATGATATTGACCATGCAAAAATATGATGCGTAACATATTTATCTCTGCGTATATCCCATTAGCGGTCGTCGCAGTGTAAACGGTAACCAAATAAGACAAACAAAACAAACAAATAATAAGTAAATATTCATCGACGAAGTTCAAAACGATAAACCATACAGCCGATTACTAAGTCTTAAATTATGCTACTCCATCATCCCGTATTTTGTACAAGTCAGAAAGTTCGTGTCTCTAAAAATTGTTCAACTAAAACGCGTTACAATTCGCGGTGTAAACGATTCGCAGCCAGCGTTTGTCGAGCCGGAGCCCGTACACGCGCGTAACACACAAAGAATTCGATACAATGGGGAAATCACTTGCAGTAGAGGCATATACAAGCCAGGCGGCGGCGGCGGCGGCGACGGCGGCAGGCGCGGGGACCCGCGAGCGGTCGCCGGTTTTTACGCGCAAGCAAAATTACTCGTGCAACGCGTGTTTTCCTGTCCACGTTTTCTCCCCTTTCTTTGCCAGGCAAGCCGTACGCATGGTCGAGCCACCGAGTCCGGGATATTGATCAATTAGGAAAAATTCATGTTGAATGGTACGCCGACTTGCGAAATCAATTTGAACGAGAGGGACAGAGCCAAAGGAAGGGAAAGAGAGAAAAAGGGAACGGCAGGGAAAGGAAATACGTGAATAGAACGTATTCGGATGTTGCTTGTTTTCATCAAATATATTGAAACGACGACCATCTCCCTCGGCTATCTCTGAATTGGCGGTCCCCGCGTGTTCGGTTTGGACATTTTTTGGGCCTTTTTAAACGGTGCATGGGCTGCATACCGCCGCGCAAGTAAACGTAAATTGCTCGAAGCCTCTGTCCAAAGGCGGCGGATCGCGTGGAAAAGGATGGTATCGTGGAATCACGCGATTCCAGCTATTCGACTCATTGTTAATCTGTTAACGATGCTTATTAAAATCGGAAACACGCGACGCTTGTCATTGCCCAATTGGGATTTTCTGCTCCTAGTTTTTCTCGTGGAACCGGTTCGCTCTAATCACTTTGTTCGTAGCTTTTCGAAGCAACAAGTTTTTAAGCTATTCTTAGTCTGGAATTGCTTGATTATTGCGCAAATGATTGGTCATTTCCAGCGATCTTATAATTTATACTTTATTATTCAATTATTAAGTATGTCAATAATCGAATTCAAATACGCGTACGGTTTGTCGTATGAAATTTCATGAAGAATTACAAAATCAAGCTACTTTCGACACGTGTGTGTACCATAAGTACAAAACTATTCAAATGTGCTGTTTAAATTATTAAATGTTGTAGTTTAATATATTTTAATGTAGTTTTAATATTAATTTACGACCAACTCTAAGATCGATGACAATTGTTCTATAATAAATTGATGCGCTAATTATTTAATATTCAAATAATTTCTTCAAATATTGCACCTTTCGTTCATTTAATCAAATTGTTCGCTGACAAAATTTATTTTCCCTCGATTCTGATTTGGTATATTGATACTGCAGCAGTTTTGAGTGTCTTTCAATTGGCCAAAAATTCGTGACCACACGTACCCTTACAAGCGTTCGATAACAATGAACTATAATAGAAAGCAACGGTGAGACCCCTTCATGAGTGGTTCGTTCGCCTTCTTTCCTGCTTGGTTATGCTTGTTTTAAAATCACCATCATTATGTTCTCGAATTCCGCTCTCCCAGAAACACTCATTACACTCCCCTGAGACGAAAAAAAAGAAAGGGATCCTTGAATGACTCTGGGAGCTTTAAATTAACCGCGCGAAACCTCGACATATTTGAGTTTCGATCGAAACGTGACCAAGTCGCTTGTGGAATATAATTTTCAATAAATGGTATTGTTGAAATTGTTTTGCATATATAAAAGATAATTTTTTGTAAATAAGTTTAAAAGACGAATTAAACTGAAATTCGTATGAAACAATAGACAAAATTATTCGTATAGTATAAATGTAGAATCCAGAAGATTACTTTTTACATTATGCGTTACAATTAAATACGAATATGATATATGTTAAATATTCAACTAACCTTACGTTAATCAAATGCTTAACATATTCTCTCAGGGAATTTAACGGCACATTTCGTTTTATTAAATTAAATTTCATTAAATTATACATTGTTCATTTTATCCAACAATATCCCACTCTTTCCCAAAATATTTATACTAATATTTACTTGTATATCATCACAAATACTCATTTCGCATAGTTACAAAAAACGAGTAACGTGTACCGACGATTTCTCATCCCATCGCTTCAACCACAGAAATCATCTTCAAATAAAATATTCGAAGAAAGAACCTCCAATTCGTGATACACCGCCAAAAATATCTCCCAACAGTTTAGCAAACGCGGTCGCTAAAAAAGAAAATGCATCGCGATCGCAGACACGAAAGAAGAAAGACAAAATTCCGCGGACTCGGGCCGCGTTACGAATTCGCCGGCCGGATAATCTCCATCGGGTTTCGCGGGACTCGTGAGTCTCCGGATATCTTCGTGCAGCGTCGATTTCCGCGCTGATCGAGCGTGGCGCTCGAGTCGACCGGCCGCTCTCCTCGCGTTCGCAGTACGCGGCGGAACGTGAGCCAGCGTGTGGCGTGAGAGAAAGGATGATTTTTCCGGTGCATCGGTTCAGGGAAAAAGGGCAACGTAGCTAGGCCAGGCTGTGCTGGTCCTCGAAATAAATTCCATCGTTCGCGCGTGTAACTAACTCGGTGCGCGAAGATCAGCGTGCGCCCGCGAGCGCAAGCGTCGATCCGATTTTTGGTTCGCGGTGGTCGGTACGGACATTTTCAAATCCGAGTGGCGGGACCGGCACCGCGCGAAGTGGTTCCAGAAGCTGGGAACAGCGTTGCGTCGTCGCTCGTGAACGCGGAGACACGTGGTACCGGCTGAGATATCGGTTCCATGCACACGGGGTGAGTTCAGGCTAGAGCCTCCCGCACACATGTACGCATACACGCACAGATACACGAATACACAGGTCCACACATAGAGAACCGTTTACTTACCGACGATCACCGTTCGACGTCGAACGTCTTGGTCGCGTCGCGGTCACGTGACGCGTTGTTCGCCGCACGAAAGAAATTTCCACGCGTTCGTTCCACTTGCCGCGAGCCCTGCGTGGTGTGTCACCGGCGGCCGACAACACGCGAATCAAACGTTGTTTCGATGCATTTTCTTCTACGTCGCGTGGAATCAGCTCGTTCGGCGTGCACGCGCGGACGCCTTTTCGATCGACGTTCGCACGTCGTCACGCGATCGTCGTCGTGGTACGCTCAGCGGGGAAACATTTTCCACGATTGTCCGTTGATCGCGCAGATTCTTAGCGACGGTTGACACGCGTGCACCCGAGAACGGATCTTTGAACGGACTGTGTGTGCTGTTGGACTCTCGAAGGACCGAGAGCTGCTCCTGCACGGTCTCTAGCCGTTACGGGACCGTCGCGGGAACTATTTTGTCGACGTGGAAGAACGTCAACGGTGCTTCGATACCACCGAGTGATAATCCGTTTCCCGTGCTGCTCCTCCGCTGGCCGTCTCCGGCTCAAACAATTTTTCACCGACGCGCAGCTTAACCTTGCGCGTATGTGTATACACGCGCGTGCTATGTGCCGTTCCATTTTTTTTCCTCCTGTGACTGCTCGGTGTTGGCCGCGCGCGCGGTATCAAAGGTGAACAGAGTCAGGTTAAATATCGCCCGGTAAACAACAAGAGAGCGGTCAGACGGCAAGAGAGAGAGAGAGTGTGTGTGTGTGAGAGAGAGAGAGGACCTCTCCGGGACGCGCACAATAGAGGAGAAATCAGCGACGGTCGTTTTTCGGTATGCCGATGCCAATGGGCGCCGTTGTTGCGTCGCTAACAAACGGGGACAATGCTATTGGCTGACTACCAATAAGTCAACGACGAACCTCGCCGTATCTGCGAATTCACAGCGGCGTCGTCTCGTGCGTGTAAGTGTTCACCAACTTGTTTACATCCGTTTTTTCGTTACCCTTTATACACGGCTGCAGATATACCGCGACGCGTTATAAGACTGGAACCGTTCAGCGAAATGGTAGCATGCCGGACTTTCTTAGCCTCGTGGGAACGAGACGGAAGAAAATAGCGTCGTTTTTTCAGCTGTTGAAGATCTTTTCTTGTTTTTCAACGTTCTTATCAACACGGTCACCGTCAGCCGGAGTTTCCAAATTACTTGAAAACAGTTGTAAGAAAATAGGCATCGGATCAACATGTTTAGTTACATAGGTAGTAGCTATATGACAGTGTTACTTGAGAGCTACAATACGAAACTATAATAATGATACGATAATAATCAATTTTAACATATTTTGGCTTTGTTATGAAACAATAAGTAATATTATGCAAAACGCTCAAAATTCTTGTGGCAGTCAACTTGTTCAACGAGAAGTACATAATCGTGGATTGGTTATTCGTGGGACGTTATTTTGACTTGATTACGTTGACGTTTTGGCCATATTGTGGAAGGCTCCCTAATGTTTCAATAACTGTTAGTACTATAAATTTAATAATCATAATTGAAAGAATAATAATTTATCACAATTTGTATGTAAATATAAAACAAAAATTATGGTGTTAGAAACAATAATGTTGAACACTTATCGAAGAGTACAGGTTATGCGTAAACGTAATATCTTTTGCATACTTCGAATTATGTAGAACATTAAGCACTGGTATCAACTTACCTGAATGTGTTGATTATTTAACACGGAGATAGCCGATGCTTTTCACGTTACATTGTATTTACATTCACGAAATAAATATCCGCGGAGGAAATAACGGTTTCGTAAACGGTTTCGTAGGAAACCGAAGTGTACGAACGTTAGCCATTTTATCGGTTTGAATAAATCGTTTTGTATCGAAAGTCAGTTTGCTCGCGTGGTCCCTTCATAAAATACGAATAAACGCGCGTAATGTTTTCAAGTTAAACGTTGCGATACAATTTACGTTATATGCGATACTTTCGAGCGGGAAGTAAAACATTGTAACGAGGTGTTAGGTCGAACTTTCGAGGAACGTTGAAATTGCGCAAAGACTGACCGGTGCATTTTTTTAAATTGTAGCGTAATTTTCATATTGCACCACTTTTTGTCCCTGACCGAACCGGAAATCGCCTTTGACGGTTTCGGACCGCGTGTCGGCACGAAATAAAGTCCGCGGATCAATTGTCCTGCCGACGCCATTGAGCGTTCGCCGCTATCTTCAGACCATTCTAAACACGCCTCTAAGATATCGCTGCCCGTACACCCGGGATTTAGGTCACTTTTGCAAGTTTCGTAACCGTCGACGCCGTCGGATAACCGGGTACTTCGGACCACATGAACTATGCGGGTTCTGTTCGTTTTCTTTTTTCCCCCTTTTTTCATTTCTTCTTTTTGAACGCAAGATTTAGGCTGCGCTTATGAAAGATAATGAATCCAATAGCCACAGAAAAATATAGTTGTACGATATTACAAAGATTCGTAGGTCTTGAACTACGTTGGTATTAGTAGGAAGAATCTTGCTCTCTAATTTACAAAAGTAATTCCTGTTTTTATAGATTTTTAGAAGAATATAAAGAACAAGTTAATTAAATGTGTCATTAACATGTCTCAGTGTGTTTGTTTCCTTATAATTTACAGACTTGAGAGTTCTGTAAATCCATAAGTATTTAGAATTTTAGAATGAAATATACCGTTGAGTACACAAAGAATAATATTTCCGACTTTATAGTTCACTGTAACGGTATGTTCACATTTAACTTTCACTCCCATATCTTCCATCGCCATCGGACAATTTGAATTTCTTCCATTGTCAAGCCAAGGTGAATTCAAAGTAACAGAAAGTATTACTTCCATCATGATTTTTTCATCATACTATACAAATTCCGGGCCATTTGTATGCTGCTCATAGATCTTGATATACAAGTCACTTTGTAACATTATGTAAGTATTCACTTACGTTAAAAAGAAAAACGAATTGTTTCTAGCACTGTCACTGGGTATTTACATCTTAATAAACTTGTCTCTCCTACAGAGACAATTACTCGTTTAGAGACTATAGTTTCTCTTTGCATGCGTGTTCATTACTTTCTTATGCCTTCTAGAAGTGCTACCAATCACTAAATTCCGTTGAATAGGTACCGAACAAAATGAAACTGCAACTAATAATATAAAAATAAAAATAAATACAAATACATAAAAGATACATAACAAAATGTTAACATTTATTTGCAAATAGTGTAAAAGTGTTCATAACCTGGGATAGAGCGTGATCAAAGGTGTCAAAGGCATAACTGACAGAAAATTAAATTATAATAAATGATTTTAAAATGGAAGTATTTAAATTTAATTTTATACTTGGAATTGTAAATTTGTTGGATATTACGATTGAAAAGTGCATGCTTAAATATTATTAAACGTTGTTCCTTTTGCACAGAAAAATTATATCAGCTCTGAAAGTTTTCAGTTATTCCATAACTTCAAGTGTCCTCACACTTCCGTCGTAATTGGGGATCCTTGTTGCTGCAACGAACCCTGCAAGGTCGTAAACACACTGTGAGCTTATTATCGTTCCTCCGCCAACAAATTCCTTCTCATCGCATTCGCCGCATTCATCTCATTTCCCGCGCGCTATTGACAATTGATTTTAAGCGACACTTGTTGCTGATCAAAGGGCGCAGTCATGCAGTTTGTACCGTTGGAACGGGTTTCGGTAAGCGTCGAGCAAATTATGTTTAATTCATCTCAAAATTAGTCGGTGTAATATTTTCTTCTGGAAACGAATGTGGCAAGAATACTGTGCGTTAAAATGCATGAAGAATGTGGATTCTTGTTTCTTGGAAGCAACGATTTTTTATTTGTGAATTTTTACTTCTTTATTAATTGTTATTTATGGGACAACTAATTTTATAAAAACCACGTTTACTAAAAGAATTATTATTTTTTTGTATTTTATACTTAATGATGCATTTTATAGATGATATTTTATACTGTATCAACATTTTGAAAACACTGATTCAGTTCTTGCACATACATCTGATTTCTCATTTCACTTTTTTTCTGTATAAAGCAGAATTGTATTTCATTGAATAACTAGTCAAATAACTAAGTTACTCGAATAAGCATCTATTCATTATTCGAAGTGTTTGTGTTATCTATTGTGCATGCGTTTTGTTAGCTCCATCAAGCATTACAGCGATTACTCGTTCAAGCTTATTTATCTTGTTATTTGAATGAATATATAAAGAAGCCTACCACGAGAAAAGAATAATTACTATCCAAAAATGAAAAAAGCATTCAATCAATCAACATATACAAGTATCTAACAAAAGAAAGTGTGCGTAAAAATATTAATAAGAGTTTGCAGATTGAGTCATCTAGTATGAAATCATCGAACACGTTGACTGCCACGATTATCGTCGGAGCTTCCAAATTCCTTGAAAACAAAGATAATAAGAAAGTTGATATCGAATAAAAATATGTAGTAACGTGAGTAATTAGGTATTAGTATAAGAACTTCGATGCTAAATCGCTAATTATTCTAATAGCAGTTGGCTAATATAAAAATCATCGGTCTCTTGATGATTAATAAGCGTGATGAACGGAAGTTGAAACGGTTTGCGTCAAAGCAGCTGATCGTGAGATCCGGCTTCGCAAAAAAAACAATTTAGTTGCACGTGTTCGACGCGCGAACCGTTCGATAGTGAGTTCGTTAAAGATATTCCGCGGACGCACGGCCGCAATTGCCGGCAGAGGATGATTAAGCGAGACAAGGAAAACCTGTCGCTGGGTTGCCGAGCGCGAGTCGCTCGCAAAGGAAGTCGAGGACTGTCCTTCGCGTTCGTCGCTCTTGCTTTCAAGTGTGATTCAGCGTAATCCAAGGAAAGAGTGAAATCGATGCGATCTTGATGGACACGCGTCACTCCGCGAGCTGGGTAGATTGTACTAGTACCGATTCAGCTAGAACCGATATTAAGGTAAATGCGTCGACAACTAACCTTTTGAAGCTGTAAGGACAATATGTTTGTATTTAAAATTATAAATTACTCATTTAGTAATTCAAATATATTTATAGTATAGATTGTAAATTACTGACCTAATAATTAAAATATATTTATATTACAAATTATAAATATAATTATGTATAAATATCAAATGTTTATAGTTGCGCTTAGTTTATTGGTACGTTTATCTTACGAAAAGAAAATAATTAAGTTCTTCTCAGTTTAATGACGAATAAATCGTCTTATACATCTCTCTCATTCTCCTGTGGTTCCGTCTGTTTCCTCGTACATTTTTCTCTCTTTCTTTCCCGATAGCCTCATTATATCTTCGTTTTATTCGGTCCTCTCCCATGTTTGACCGTTTGTTTCATATTTTCACGCTCGCGACAAGCGTCTCCTTCCTTCAGCCTTCTTCGTTTTCCCCTCCCGCGCTGCCGACGACGGCGTCGGGCAACGACGACGAAACCGACACATGTATGTTGCAGCAGTGCAGCCTGCTAATTCGTCGTGCAGAAATATCTCGAGCTCTCGTCTGCGACCGCGGGCCGCGGCACTCGGATCGTTATTGTGAATTTCGTCCTCCTAGAAATAAACTTCTCGAACACGCTGCAACGCTGAACGACCGCGAGGCCGACGATCCTTCTCCGTCAGTCTTTCACTGTCCGTATTAAGGTCGTCGCGCGCGCGTCGGCCGACGAAGCATGGTGAATCGAATGGATCGTTTTGTACACCGTCGAACCTTAACCCTTTGCGCTTCGAGTTCCTCTTACGTTTTCCTTTTGTATTATTCTCATACTATTTCTTGTGTTTTACTTGAAACATATTTTGAAAGATGCAATGGGAAACAGTGAAAACAATTGTTTTTACTGACACTATTGAAAATATTATAAGACCAATTGAAAATGCCTCGACAGAGAAGCGCATTTTTTCATCAATCTGATGTCAAAT